TCAAGCATGGAGATGGTAGTGTTAAGCTCTGGGGCTGTTATTCTCCTAGTGATGAAGGAGGAGGATGACCTCCAAATTCTTTAACTTCAGTCAACAGCTAGATGGTTAAAACTTTTAAACAAAAGGATAATAATCTCAAAGATAACAAAGATACATTAAACTGGTTTTGTAATGGATAAAGCAGGCTAACATAAAGATTCTGCAATGCCCTTCCCAAAGCTTCCCAAAGGACAACAGGAAAGGAAACAATTTAACCAGCCCGTGTAGATTCTAGAAAATCCTAAATGAATTCAAATTTGTTCACCCAATTCCTCATTTTTAGTCACCTTGAGGCAGCTGTGGTGATTTGATGCTTTATAAATAAAATAAAAAATGAAAATGAAATGAAAATAAATATATACATATACAATCCTTCCACTCTGAAAAAAGAGCAATTTAAACCTCACTAAAACCCCCAAATTACCATGACATTCATGCCCAACATAACTGTACAGAAACTTCTGACCACAAGCATAAGTATTTTTGTAATTTGATTTGATCTACAAGCGAACTGTATTTAACACCAGGTTAGCGTTTGCCTAGGAGGAAAATGTGAACATTTGTATGTCAGTAGTACTCACGCCGCGGCTCTCTGGGACCATCCACTGTGATTTTAATGGCTCTTTGGTATGTGGCCACCTGTGGAGGGTTGGTGAATACTGTGATGGTCAGTGTGAAACTTTTCCCTATGAAAACACAAAAAAGGGAGAAAAAGGAAGGTGAAAAGAGAGAGATGACGAGAGAAAGGGAATGGACAAAAATCACAGGGCAAAACCTCGATACAACATATGTACATATATATATATATATATATATGTGTGTGTGTGTGTGAGAAGGCTAGGACTCGGGGGGAAAGGATTCAGGCTCGGGTCCTCTAACAAAGGCCTGGTTGGGTCCTGCGCCAGTCCCATTCAATTACCGGCCAATATATATGTATATGTATAAGGAGCCAAGGAAGATGTTTGTGGGGTGCTTGTGGGGGAGCTTGTCCTACAGCATGATTGTATTCAAAGCAGAATTACGGTCCACAAAACCATTATACTAAGTTCCTGCAGAGTTCAGATGCTGGATGATGAAGTCTAGTGCCATGCTAACTACATCACCTACTGATCTGTTGGCTCTGTAGGCAAAACACAGGGAGTTCAAGAGAGAGGGGGTCAATCATTGACTGTAGATGGGACAGGCAGAGGTGAGAGCGACAGGTCTGTAGTCATTAAGGCTTGTGATCATTGTTTTTTCAGAATGGGAAAGATATTGGCAGCCTTGAAGCAGGCTGGCACATGACATATCTGCAGTGAGGTGTTGAAAATGTGAACACTGTCGACAGTGTTTCAGGGTGGATAAAGACATTGAGTGCTGAGGTGCTTTGTGGGGGTTCTGGCTCTTTCTATATAGTAATCCTGGAAATTACACTGCATTTGGTTTTTATTGGTAATGGTCGATGTGTAAACTTTATTCCAGCTTCTGAGTGTGATATACAAAAAGTACTGAAAGTAAAAGAGTTTCTGAAAAGCAAACAACATGTATGAGAATAAAATACTATTACTTTGTCCTGTGCTGGATGTGACTTGATTCCTGAGATTGTGGAGCAAAGAAAAAAGGATGCAAATGTTTTTTCATGCAAACTTGTGGTCATAGACAAAGTTAACAATTCAAATGTAGAATATTACATATTCTACAATAATACAGAATATTACTTGTAATCATGAATATTACATGGTGTTATGAAGCTATTCGCACATATCTGCAGTCAATCTTTTCAAGTAGATATTTTTAAAAAATGAGAGAAAAACTAAAAAACTGTCTTCCATTTATAAACGAAATTCTCTGCTTTACCTTAAATGTTATAAAAAACAAGTTTTTGTAAAGGTTTGATCATTTAAATTACAAATACTTTTCTGAGTGACTTAAAGTTTGGCTTTGGATGTAGCCTAAATACTTATTTAGAAAACTACTGTGTCCCATTTCTAATAGACACCTGCCAGCCAATCACAAACCAGTGTTTAACTGCGGTCATATCTAAGAGATATGAGTGTATGTTGTAACAACCCTTTTGGGTTATAGCACCACTAGGGGGGGTTGCCCAACTATTGTAGTAGCTATGGGGGTCTCCTAGTGGGTGTGTGTTGTTAGCGGCAGCCATTCCATGCTGCTCGTGTTCCATTCTCCAAAAAACACCTTTCTGTTGTAGCAAGCTGGCGCTGGCGATACCAAGCCCCGCGCATGTATGCGCGGACGAGTACAGCCGAGGAGACCTGGCATTATAAAGTGTAATGTTGCTGACGGCGAATAAAGGTCTGTTATTGGATTTAACCGACTGGCTTCGGGTTATTCAGCTAACCCCCACACCACACGCTCGCTGGACCTGCTAGCCGCTCCTTCCTCGCCAGACCGCTGTTACAATGTACCACACATTAATAGGACTATCTCTGTGTCTGTGTGAAGTAGCAGTCACTTAACTCTGTGCTAGATGTAAACACTACACATGGCAGAGCCCCACTGCTGTTGTGTGTCGGGTGTTACTCTCATTTCCCTCTCCCTTTCTGTCTCCTCTCATTATCTTAAATTATGATAAATGAAACGTAGTCATATATTATATAACATATATAGTGATATACAAAGCTCAGACCTGAATAACAGTTTAAGTTATAAAGAACCCTTCTATAGGAAACACTAACGATTAACAGATGACATTCTCAGCTGTATTAATGGCCACTAGATGGCAACTGACATCAGTGTGTCTCTGCTGTCTTTGTGCAACCAACAGAAAGAGATCGTGATCCTGGTCTACACAGTGTTTCCTCTCTTTGCACTGCTCTATATAAGCAAAGGAAAAGCACACCATGAATGAAAAATGTATAACAGCATTTCTGTTCCCTTGTTTACAAAAAGAGTTACATGCACATGCACACACACACACACACACAC